ACTGCTTGGGATGCCATAGTTCTTATCTGAGTGCCAGTTTAAGTCCCAGCTACTCCAATTCTGATCCAGCTTCCTGTTAGTGCATCCTGGGGGACAGCAGATGGCTCAGGTTCTCAGGCCCTTGCCAGCCAAGTGGGAGACCTATATGGAGTCCTGACCTCAGCCCAGCCCAGCCCCAGCTGCTGCTGGTATTTGGAGAATGAACCAGAGGAGGGGCCATCTTTCTTTCTGTGCTCTCGCTCCCTCTCCTCTCTCCAGTAGATGAAAATAAGTAAATAAATATTTAAAAAACCACAAAAGCTGCTTTCGTCCAAAGCCAAAATTCTGCAAGTATCCTGGGTATTTGTGCAAAAAAAAAAAAAAAAAATTAAACTCAGGGCATTACCTGGCTTTCTTGTGTGGTTGCACGTTCCTACAAGATGCATTTTTATCCACTTAAAAGTACCTGTTTGCATTGTAAACTATGGGCCATATTAATTCTAGTGCTGCGTGACTTTCAGAAGATAGCGACACACCTAATCTACAAATCAGTGTGTGTCTGCAGTAAGCTCTCAGCACTTTTGAGGAGAGCCAAATAAATAAATAAATAAATAAGCCATTTCCACACATTTCCTTCACGTCGGCAGTAGACGCGTTCAGTAGTGGTGAGGTTCCTCTTGCTTATTTATATAGCAATCATAGCTGATTAAAAAAGCACCTAAAAACAAAAGTGTCACAAATTCATGGCATATACCCTAAAGCTGGAAACCAGAGGCATCTTAAGGGGAAAAAAAGATAAAAAGAGGAAAAACATTATTTTTGAAAGTACAAGGAACAAAGAAAACGGGCAAAGGAAAATGTATTTTTTTTTTCAGGAAGGCTGAGAATGGTAGTAGCCTTTGAAGTTTAAAACCAGTCTTGGGGAGGGAGAAGGGAAGTATCATTATATTCTGAGAACTGACGTTGAATCTGTTCTCTTTGTATTAATATCACATTAACACTGATAAGAAAACAAATCAGTCTTCATGGAATTCCAGATCAGAGAGCCAGCTTGAGGGGCGTGGGTGCTCACCTGGTGTGAGACCTAGCAGAGCGATTCCACAGCTGCACCCTGTAGTCAAGTCAAGGATACAAAAACGGATCTGCAAAACACAAGCAGCTGGCATTGGCTAGAAGCGCTAGGACCGACCACGGACTCAGCAGTGCCATGTTGCCTGCATGACCCTCGGCAAGACACTGTGCCTCAGTTTCCTCCTCCTCAGACATAAAAGTGATGCCTGCCTTATGCCGGTTAGGATGGGGTGAGAAAATGCATAGAAAACACATGTTAAGTGCTCAATACATGGGAAGCCCGGGTGACTTATTATAAAGTTTTCTTACGGTTTGGATAAAAAGGATCTAGAAAGCAGAGAAGCGCAGGTTGAAGAGGAAAGCGGCAGGGTGCAGTTGTGTCTTAGAGACAAAAACAAAAGAAGTCCTAGTGCTCTGGCATTTTCCGTGAAGTACTTAGTTCTGGTTGTTTCTCTCTAGGTGTCAGCAGCCTGTGATGAAAAAGACTTTTTCAAGGATTTCCAAGAGAAACCCAGCAAGGACCAGGAAGGCACGGTGGCGAGCAGGTTGCTGGAGAGCTGTGGCTCACAGGTGAGCCCCTGCTGCCTGTCTGGGAAAAGCTGCCTGGCAGAGCCGTGTGGTCAGCTCCTCTGCCTTGCAACTAGAGGCAGAAGAGGAAGCAGGCCTTCCGCAGAGAACAGGTGGTGCACAGGACTTTTGCTGATGTTAATAAACATTAAAATGGCTATTGGATTTTTAAAAAAATCTCTCCCTCCCTTTATCTCCCCCCTCCCCAGGCCTCCAGTGGCCACACTGGGTAAACATGCACCCCCTCAGGCTTCCTATCCCCCCTCCCCGATTTCTCTTCCTTCCTAATGATTGAGCACCCTGCCGCACAGTGCACTGCCGAAGCGCGTGGTTATTGCTTAGCCTCCCAAGTGAGCAGGCTATTACTTGTTCTTTCCTATCGCCCCTGCGCCTCGCACAGTGCTCAGTAAATACAGCAAATGCTCCACAAATATTTGCCAAACAGAGGGAAAGGACAACTGCTCCTTTACCTTAAGTTGCTTGCAGTGCGGTGAGCGCAGGTGACCCTGAAGATTCTGCGATTGTTCGGACGATGCAGAAGGAACGAAGGATCGCGAACACCCTGGTTTCGAAAAAGTCTGGGGCCTTCTGACCCACTGAGACAATGAACGCGTGCCATTAGAATCCCATGTATAACGTGCAAACCTGTATGACTGCTCCACCAGAATTTGGGCACTGGCAAAGCTTCTCAAATTTTGCGATTCGACAGTTGTTATTTAAAGAGGGGGTAGGGACGTGCTGTGGCAAAGCCGTTAAGACGCCGCTCGGGACACCTGCATCTCGTGTGCCTGGGCTGGGGTCTCGGCTTCACTCCCCCCTGGTTCCAGCTTCCTGTTAATGCACTCCCGGGGAGACAGCAGGTGATGGATGAGGTCCTGTGCCCCTGCTCCCCAGGGATGGAGTTTTGCAGATGGGAAGGAAGATCAGGCCGTCATCTTTTGTAAGAAGTGGACCTGGATTTAAATCTTGCTTTGCCCGTAATCAAATTTCTACTTTCTCCCAAAGTTTAGATTGCCTTTGAGTGTAAGCTTCAACTTGTGCCCTCCACATCTGTGCAAGAGGCCTATTGCTTCAAAAAGAAGGCAAGTTAGCACTCAGCCCGCCTGCCTCACAGCTGAAACGTTGGCACCGCCTGCTCTGAACAGATGTGCTGGGTTGCAGTTACCCTGCGATGTTTGTGCCCAAACCAAAGATCCCTATCAACACGCCCCGAGTAAAACCCGAGTGTGAGATACAGCCAGGGCCTCCTTCTGCAGCTTCTTCTTTACACAAAGCAGACCTCGGCATTCACAGTGATTCCCCAGGAGGTCAGGCGCCTCCCCAGAGATGCTGCTCTCACTAACAGCTCCTCTCCTGGACTTGTCTCAGAGCCTGCAACACAGTCTTTAAACACTTCGTGCATGAGCTCAAATCTTGGTTCTTTAAGAATGGCTTTGGTTTTAGGAGGCAGCCCTTTGGAGCTACGTCCAGCGAATTTAAGGTGGGTGAAGGAGCTGGATCGTACTTTGTCAAAGACAAGTTGTGGTCGAATGCAGTGATACCGGTTTTGTTTGGTTTCTGAAGGATATTGAAAAAAAAAAAAAAAATCCTCAAAGCGCTTTGACTAACATCTGGGCCAAATGCATCACCCACCAAGGGACTGTGTTGAAGGCAAAGGGGCATTTGGCGACGTCCGCTCTGATCTGATGGCCTCAGAAAACAAGAGGGGCTGTAACTTCAGAGCCACGGCTTGAAGGATCATCGTGGGTGCTCTCATCTTCTACAATAAGACCTGCATTGCTGTGAATTATAGCTCTACAGAAAACAAGAACCAGGATGTGACTGTTTGCTAGATACATACAGTTACACAGGGCAAACAAAGCAGGGGGAGAATGGCCCGGGAAGCTGATATGCACGGAAACAAAAAGCAATATGCTCTGTTCTATTTTCTCCTGAAGTAGTTTAATGGATGATGAGGATAACAGCAGGGGGAAATGATGTTTTTATGGTTATGGCTATAAGAGGGACGCTGGATGTATAAAATGATTTTCTTATCTGATGTGGGAGGCTGTTGTTTATAAGGAATTAAAATGCACGAGGAGACAGTCATTCATGGGAAAGCCAGCCCGTGGCACTCTGAAGATATTTGGAATATTTAGAATTGTAAAGGGTGTTTCTAATACGTTGACACTGAGAGCCACACATCAGAATTAAGATCTTTCTCCTAAGGAGAGTTAACCTTTCATATTCTCCATCAGGAGAACTCTCAGTCAGAAGGAAGGGATATCTTGTTTCAACACAGTTGTTGACCACTGAGTGGTGAGCAGGATAGGAATAATCCCAACCTGATGGATGCCCTGGTTTGAAACTCCAAGCATTCAGGCGAGATTTCAGTCCATACTTTCCACCTTTAGAACTCACGAAAATATTTTATTAGGGGGCAGCTCACAAATGAGTGCCTGCTGTGGACTAAATCTAAATCATTTCGGCTAACATGGAGAGGGTAACAAAGGGCAGATGTCTTACCCAGGGCAGACGCGGTGTAGTAAATGCTTGGTGCATCAAGGGCGCCAAGATTTCTTCTTCATCACAACTACAGTTGTCACTAAGAGCTCTGTCTGCTATAAATGGCCGAGCACCTGTGCACGGAGCAAGAATACCATCTAGGTGTGAGTTCAGGGTACACAGCTGTACTACAAGGAAGCACCAAAAAGTTCACGGAAAATGTGTACTGTGGGAAAACTATGCCTAGATTATAAACATTTTTTTGCACCCAAAGAAATTTACCTTTAATTCCATTTTCCAAAAAAGTTTTGAAGTACCTTCATACTTAACCGCCCCTCCTCAGTAAGTGAGGTCATTGTTATGAGATCCTTAGAGAAAAAATTAAGGTGTTTTACCAAAGCAGAGAGCACCTCAAATGAAGGTGTTTTTGAGAAACTAAGTCTTTGTGTGTTTCAACCTTGGCCTGTAGGGGATTGTCTGGGAGCTTCGGAGAGTGGCAGCACACAGGACAGACATAACAGATGTTGGCTTCTTGGTGGCCCAGCCCTCTCCGACCCAACGGGAGGCCGCGGAGAGGCCAGCAAGGACTGGTGGGGGAGAAACCGCTCTGCTTTTGGTAGCCTGTAGGGTTTCATGCAAATAATATACCCAGTTGAGATCTGTTTGCTTCGCTGTGAAAACACTTTCAAAATGTCGACGGCACAGGGTGGTTGTTGGCCAGCAGGTGGCTATGGAGGGGCTGTTCAGTGCCTGGCTGCCTTCCCGGAGCCAAGCCAGGTCTCGACCTCCAGGCTTCCGGCCGGGAACCGAGGGGCTGCCCGGGGCACGCTCTGGCAGGGTCAGCACGAGGTGCTGTGGGGCTTACAGCAGGGGCGCGCGGGGGGCACAGCTCCTGCCCGGCGGATGTGTCCCTGTGTCCTCCTGTCCGCCACTCCGAAGGCCCCAGGGCCGGACCTCGGCGTGCCGGGAGGGACACGCCGGCAGGCTGGGGGGGTGCATGTGTGCCTTTTAAGTCATTCGCTTTCTCTCCTCCACACTTTACCCGTGGCGGTTGAAAGTCTTGTTTTGAGAGGCAGAGGAACACCAAAAAGAATTATAAAAAGACATTTCCAGGAAAGGAAGAGAGCGAGCTCCCCGCGCCGCCTACCCCCAGGAGAATCCCCTCTGAGCTCGTGAAGATGGAAGGTGTGGCTGAGGCAGGAGGGGGCCGCTGCTGGCAGTCAGGAGCCGGGGCGAGCGGCAGCTCCGCACACAGAGCCTTCCCGGGAGGAGCCCGGGTCAGCCGCCAGCCTGACCCGGAAGAAGTCTCTCTGCCGGCTACGCCATTTTGAACGTGAAGGAGGCCTGAGGCCCCTGAGCTCATGAGTCGTGCTCCTGGCGCCTCGCGCTTTGCTTTCCCAGGGGCAGAGCCTGGCCGCATCCTCTTCGGGAGGTCCCTGCAGGCTGCTGTCCGGGTCCCACTCCTTTGCTTTCTGCAAGGACAGCAAGAAAACCACGGGGTCTCTTGCTGGAGGTATGACCGATTTTGGACTCTGCCACCCCAAATCTTTCAGAAGCTTGAGTTAAAAAAAAAAAAAAAAAAAGCAAAGCTTTGATGCTGACTTTCTAGACGCACACATGAAGTCAGCCATCGCTGAATTAAATGGGAAGGAGTTCCCCCAGATAAGCATTCCCGCCCCCCGCCCACCCCCCACGCCCTGGCTGTCTCAGGGGACTCTTTGGGGAGATAGAAGGAACCACCTCACAAAGCATGTTGCTGGCTGCCTCTGGCCTAAGGACAGTGCTTTGCTTCGGCCAGCCTGTCTTCTGAGAATCCAGGGGCAAAGTTCCTCTTTAGTCTCAGCCGTGCGGAGCCAGGAAGGCCCTGTCACCCTGAGCAAGGCGTCCGTTGGGGTCCAGAGGGCACTGAACTTTCCCTGCGGTTGGGTTCCTGCTTCATCCTGGTTGATGAGAAGCTTAGAGCCACGTAGCATACATTGTTTATATTAACCTCACCTCTGGTTTTAGCTTAATTTTGTTTCGATTTCTCTTGATTTAAACATCTCTTGTTTTTAATTTTTTGTTTCGCTAAGATGCTCTAAATCCTTGAATGAACAAAACCATATCTTATGCTCACCTAATAATATGGCAAGCTGGCTTTCTACAGAGAATTTTCTAGAAGGAGATAATATGCCCATCAGAGAACAGAAAGTTCTCAGTTGGCAGTTCAAGTTCATACTATATTAACAAATTGATATTTGGGGCCTGTAAGTCTCTTGTGAGCTTGGTGCTCATCCAGTGCTACTTATTCCTTCTATCACTACACTGCAGACACATTAGTCCCCTTTCCCTTCATTGAAATGCCAGCTGTTTACCACCTCAGGGCCTTTGCATATGCATTTGGAATATTCTCCCCTTTTCCCCCAGGCTGCCTCTTACCCACTAGGGCCAAAGTAGCACTTTAGAATAATTGGAGGAATTTAAAATAATGTTGATGTGTGCAGGCGTCAACCCTGACAGTTATAGATTCTCTGCACTTGGAGCCCAGGCGCTGATATCTTTAAAAGTGCTAATTTCACCGAGGGCTGAGAGCTATGGCTTCAGGGTTCAGCTTTTGAATGGCAGCTGTTCAGAGGCCTCCTTCACCACCTGTAGGTTATAGATAATGGTTTGTCATCTAGCACAGCTTCTCTGATTGCTTTGTAGCAGTTGTTGTAATTTGTCTCCCCACAACCCCCCCTGAAATCTGGGTGCTGTTAGGAAACAGAGCTGCCTGCATTGGTCTTTGTGCTTTTCTCCCGTGCATGGTGGCAGGCACACAACAGGATTCTGTGACCCACCCCGTCCTCCCCCACCTCCCGCCCCGCCTGGCACCGAACACTGCCATCCTGCACAATGTCTCAGTGTTTGCTGAACTGAAGAGAGTTGACTTTCTCCTTACAACACGTGGGTATTTTGACCAAGATGGCACCCTGGGCCGTATCCCGAGGTTGCGACCCAGCTGGTCATGACCACAGCGTGCATGTTGAGTTGTTGGTTTAGGCTGGGATTCAGCCACTGATCTAAATGGCTGCAGATGGCCGGTACACCTGGATCGCTCAGGCGGCCAAGGAAATGAGTGTTTTTAGGCAAAAATGAAACTTGGAGGAGTCTGAAAACAACTCGCAGGCAAGCACCTCCCGACACAGGTGCCAGCCCTAGCCAAGGCGGATGTGTGGAGGGCTGCCTGAGCTCTCCCCGTGGCTGGGTCTGTTCTTGCCAAATTATTTGCCACTTATTAAGAAAGCCAAGCAAATGACCCACCTGCTCTTTTCCTGCGAGTTAGTGGCTTCACCAAGCCGATGGGTAAATTCCAAGGACCTGTGTACTGAGCTTGAACCATCCAAGACTGGTCAGTGAGCGCACATTTTACTTTTCGGGGCAGGGGAGCGGGACTTAGTTTGGTTCTCTAGGGAATCATCTTTTTTTTTTTTTTTTTTTCTAACTTTTCCTTTGCTCACTTTTCTGTAGATAATTTGCTGGAGGAGAGTGGCAGAGAGAGAAATGGGAAGGGGCCCATAAATGAAACCTGAATCCAACTGTGCGGTCCACGCCTCTTTCTGCCTCTCACCTGGGCAAGTTTCGTGTTCTCATGGGGAGAAACGCACGTGCACACAAGTGCCCCTTAGCCCACACAAATGAACCCCCCTTGCGCAGAAGCCGCTACAGGAAACTGACTGGTGCACAGGAACTTGCTAATCTCTTGGGTCACATTCAGATTGTTCCTGCTGCCCCAGTCACCGTGCGCACCAAGCCCAGGCGTCCTGCACTGACGTCTCCGCCGGCCCAGCTCTGATGCCGTTTGCTCCTCCGTGTCAGTCAGGTGTGTTCTTGAGGAGGAGGGAAAGGGTGATCTAGAAATGAAATCACCACGGTGAAAAGGCTTGGGCTGCTTTGGTTTCTTACCAACGCTGTGCTGAACAAATTTGACTTCCGGAGTCGGGCATTTTGGTGTCAAGAAGTTTCTACAACATTCTACGACAGGTAAGACTTGTGCGCCTTTAAAAACTCCTGGAGTGTCAAAAGGAATCTTTCTGATGCTGAATCTTTCTGATGGAGTAGTTACTCTGTTCTCTACCTGCAGGAAAGACGGGAATCAACTTGGAGCAGTGGGGGGGGGGGGGGGATTTAGGTTGTGAAACATTAAAAATTAGAATAGCTGCCTTTTTGGTTTTCCAGAGATTTTCCTAGTGCTTGTGAGGGCCCGTGAAGGAGCTCAACCACACGGTCATTTAAATATCACACGATGTTGGGTGAAATAAACCTAAAGATCCTTTAAGCATTTTTCTTTCTTGTTTAGAAAGGAAATGGAACCAAAATCTAAATGACAATGATTTGGATCTGGATTTCTTAGCTTATTTGTTTCCCTGTTGTCAATGCTGAAGTCCACCTTTTAGAGTAGTGATATATATATATATATTTTAATGAAGTTTAGATTTTTGAAGTGGATTGGTTTGGAGACATGCTCTTGAGGTTCCGGTCAATAGCCTGGATTGTAACTAATGAAAGGATGGGAAATCACCAGGTTTAGGTACTTTACCGACTAAAAGCAGCCCTTGAAATATTCAGGCAGGCAGCAAGTAGTGGATGGTTGCTTACTGGTTCCAGGCTGCTGCCGTAGGGGGTTGGAGAAGTGTAAAGAAATTTCTACTCTGAAGGACCGTACAATCTCAGAGTCGTGGCACGCGTACAATTTAGGAAGCAGTGCGAGGTGGGAAGTAAGTGATGAATGGCTTGGCTTGCGCTTTAGGAGTTACGGGAGTGCCGAGAAGGGGCTTTGAGGGTGAACTGGCAGGGGCGGGAGAGGGGCTTTGGGCCGCCGTGCATTTTGAGTGCGTGGAGAAGTGGGGAGGGTTGACTCAGTCCGGAAGGACTACGTGGGAAAGGCACAAAGACTGCCGTGGAGATGATGAGCCCAGCTGAAGATTCTGGAACCAGAAAAGAAGACAGTTTATCTTTCACCTTGCAAGAGGTAAAATGAGAAACTTAGCGGGTGGGCAGGTGAGGCGGTCCTCGCGAGGCCACCGAGAGCAGACGCCATTCCACAGTCTGAGGATGCGTGGTGATGGTCGCCTCTCACCTGGGGCTGCTCCGTCTGTGGTCCCCGTTTGTCCTTTAGGACATTGTTCATGTGGAGACAGGTTTGCGTGCTTGGGGAACCCATCAGCCCCCACTGCTGGGGTCTTCCTTTCCTGGCATTTGTTTAGTCATCTGGTAGTGACAGTGACCTTCCTCTTGGAACTTCTTCAGTGCTCAGATTTGAAAAAAAAATTCTGTAAAACAGCTCTAATGACAGTAATCATAAGAATACCTCCATCAGGAGGTTGTAGAGAGACAAATGAGATCAGAAGTTGGAAAGCACTCTGTCTGGTGCCTGGGATTCAGTCAACTCTCAGTAGACCGGCCAGTAAGACTTTCATTGAGGACTTGGCTGTGCACACAAATGGAGATGCTCGAACCCGTGGCCGTGAAGCAAGGTGCCCGCAGCCTGACTTTTCCAATGACAGCATTCCTTTCAGAGGATCGTGGGAGGCACAGATGGAGGCTGGGATTAACATTTTTTGAGCACCAAGTGTAGACTAGGCATCCAGGTTGTGGGTGCTAGAGTGATAATGTATGGGGGTAGAGGAATAGAGGATTAGAAACCTGCTTGTCCAGACTTCCCATGCCTGCATCTCCGGCTCACCTGGGCACTTCTGCATTGCTCGCAGGCATCCCTGGGTGCCGCTGCTTTCTGAATCCTTCGGGTGGAATCATCAAGGTGCTGGGAGGTTTTCCTTTGGGCAGTTTAAATCAAGTTATTTAAGTTACAACATTTGCATTGTAGTGTTAGCAATGCTCGGGTACAGCTCTAGTTCTCCTTGGGAGTCGGGGACCATTTTGACAATGGGTGTTCGAAGTGCTCTGAAATGCTTGGATCTGTGGGAAAGCCAAGTTGAAAAAAAAAAAAAAACCATTCCACTTCCCCGGGGCCACCCTCTAGATTCCAGACTCTTCTGCATCAGAAAGCTCCCCTTTAGAGGTGCCCATAGAGCAGGAGTGTTAATGCTGCAGGGGATTCTCACTTAGGTGTGCAGAAACCTAGAGTGAAGTGGCAATGCTGTTTTCCTCCCAGAGCCCTCCTAGGAGGCCTTGTGTGGGGAAGGGGCTGGGCAGGAGTCAGGCTGGGGCACCACGGTGGAGGCTGGAGGCAGTGGGATGAGTGGGGGGCAGGGAGCGGCAGTGAGAGCAGGAGGGGTGTGCGACACAGGAAGGGTGAGGAGAGCCAGGGCGGAGGGGGCCAGAGACACCTGAGCCGCCTCTGACCGCTCAGTCATTTGATTGTAACGGCAGCTCGGATGCCCTCTGCGAGTTCTGGATGACGCGCTCAAGAACAGCCGTGGTGTTCCCTGGGTGTGGCCAGTAGTCCAGAGGTGACATTGATCTATCTGGTCCTGCCTGGCATCCCAGTTCCCAAAGCTGGCTGGACATGAAAACCTCCTGGAAAGCCTTAAAGAAGTCGAGGCTCCCACATCTCACACCCCTGCCCTGGGGGGGGTGTCCAGAAGTCTGCGTGGTAAAGGAAATCGCAGACCAAAACAACTTGGAGGCAGCGGCTTTATGTTTGGGAGTTTAGAAGCCATTAATCCAGGAGTCTCCTCCCGGGGCCCCAAGCACCGAGATGGGAAGTTAAGTGCTAATATGAGGCGAATCAGCCTTCTCTCTGACGTGATGAACATCTCCACAGAAAAAGCATTTTCCTTTGTTTTGAATTTATTTCTTGGACTGATTCCTGGGGGTGGGCTGTCTGGGTCAGGAGTGTGAGAATAGTAAGCTCAATTACGTTTACATTAAACATCAGGCACCACTTAAAAAAAATCCCTCTGGGGTAGAGGCTGTGTGGTGTTGCTTGGGGAGCCCCGAGGGAGGAATTGGCTTTCAAGGGGAAAATAGTGCCAAATCTCTCTTTTTCTTGTAAAATAGAATACTAATGAATTACTTTTGGAAGAAACGTCCAGAATGTTACTGAATGTTCAGTCGCTTCTTAGAGCGTAATTTGGAACCCTCTTATCTCTGCACTTAGTTTCTCGTAAAACTGAAGTCAGCAGTGACCTCTTCCCTATTTCGTAGAAAAGAAAACCAAGGAAGAGAAGAATGGTTATGCAACCTGCAGTCTGGTTCTCATCACATTTGCCATGAGAAGGACACAGTCATCCATTCAGTTCGTTGTTGGAGAGGTGCTTGTATACATGACCTCATGGAAAAAACCCTGTAAAGTGGGTGCGTGGGAGTGGGCAGGCAGGCTCGATCCACCCAGATGGGAGTTAGCTGTCTCACTCTTTCCCTTTTCTGCATTCCATTTTATTCATTATTTGCATAACCTGTTGACTTGAAAGCATGTTCATCATTTATTGCACAGATGGGAATAAAGTGAATTTTCAGTTGCTTCAATGAAAAAAAAAGTGCTCTTATAAAATAGCAAATGAAGTATTTACTGTGGTCCTTTAGAAGCAGCCTGTACTTGCACGAGCTGATTGTAGTATTTTCAGAAATTATGCAAGCCAGTGATTTCCTTCTGTTTATCTGTGTCATGGAAATACCATATGATGTGCTACTTGAGCATCTCTTTTCAATCCTGTGTTCAGTGATGCCATGTAGGTAGCTTGAAATTGGCCACGGTAGGAGTAATTTACACTACAGAAATCCGCAAACACGATACATCAGGTTTGCTGTCCCAAGCTTTCTGTTTTGCTTTGTGTTGAGTGCCAGCCTACACTACGGAGGAGCTGTGTAAAATACAATCATCTCTTCATGCCCAGGGGAATTGTTCCAGGCCCCCACAGATACCCAAATCCAGGAGGCTAAAATTTCTTTATAACACAGGTTAGTAGGCTGGCACCGCGGCTCAATAGGCTAATCCTCTGCCTGCGGTGCCTGCACACGGGGTTCTAGTCCCGGTCAGGGCGCTGGATTCTGTCCCGGCTGCTCCTCTCCCTGTCCAGCTCTCTGCTGTGGCCAGGGAGTGCAGTGGAGGATGGCCCAAGTGCTTGGACCCTGCATCTGCATGGGAGACCAGGAGAAGCACCTGGCTCCTGGCTTCGGATCAGCGCGGTGCGGGGGCAGCAGTGTGCCGGCCGCAGCGGCCATTGGAGGGTGAACCAATGGTAAAGGAAGACCTTTCTCTCTGTCTCTCTCTCTCACTGTCCACTCTGCCTGTCAAAAAATAAATAAATAAAAAGATTTAATGTCTTAGCTTGACATAAATAAAAAAAAACACAGGTTAGTGTTTGCATTTAAGCTACACACATCCTCCTATGTAAGTTAAACCATCTCTAGCTGACTTATAATGGCCTAAACCATGGGACTGCTGTGGAAATTGCCTTTATACTGTTTTGTTTAGGGAATAATGACAAGAAAACAAAATGTTTGCATATTCAGTACAGGTGCAGCTTTTTCCCAATTTCTTTTTTAAGATTTATTTGTTTATTTGAAAGGCAGAGTAACAGAGAGGAAGAGACAGTCTTCTATCCACTGGTTCACTCCCCAAATGACTGCAGTGGCTATAGCTGGGCCCATCTGAAGTCAGGAACCAGGAGCTTCTTCTGGGTCTCCCACGTGGGTGCAGGGGCCAAAGCACTTGGGCCATCTTCCATTGCATTCCCAGGTGCATTAGCAGGGAGCTGGATCGGAAGTGGAGCAGCCAGGACTTGAACTGGTGTCCATATGCTGGGCAGCACTGCAGGCAGTGGCTTTAACGGCTATGCCACAGCACTAGCCCCCCCCCCCCCCAAATATTTTTGATCTGTAGTTGGTTGAATCCACGGGTGCAGAATCCACAGATGCAGTGGCCAACTGTGCAAATATGGCAGTTTGGCCATGTGTATCAAGAGCCATTAGAATGTTCATATGCTGTGAACTGCATCCCTGGAAATTTATTCTAAATAAATAAGGAAGGAACAAATGACATGCCTGAATACATTTCCTGTATAATTTATTAGAGCAAA